TGTTCTGTAACTTTTCACTGAAATTGAATATGGCAAATCGCAGACACGTTTATTTAGCGCTTTGACCCCGGAAACGGAGGAACACATTAAATAAGCGAAAAACAAAATACACTTTAACATGTAACGTTCAAAAGCTGATTCGGGCGCTCGCATTTAGAAGTCGTGAAAAATTCGACAATTAATTTTTTTTTCAAACTTTTTGGTATATTTTGATAGCCAGTCCTATAAGCTTTAAGGGGTTTAGATATCTACAGTTTAAACCGGACGCGCTACATCGCTTGCACGCGAGACACCCCTGAAGGTGCACGGTTACCTTTATAACAAACCGGCTGTTTAGAAAATGAGCCCGCACATCCGAGGAAAAGGGGCAGATCAAGCGCAAAGGGCATGGACAGGAAAAGGGTGAAATTACTCAGAGGGGAAGGGTGGGTCAATCTCACGTTTCAGGGAAAATAGATTGGTCCTTTCACGTTTCACGGTCATGGTTAATTACTGTCGAAACTAAATCAAAATCACTGTTCACGACGAATTTAATTCTTTCTCATTTCACGGATAACTATTTTGGAAAATCACGGTTCGCGGCTACCAATGAAATGACGATTCACGAGGAAACAACAAGCCATTTCACCGGCGTTTCACGGCAAAAAAAATAGGTCTTTCATGAATCACGAAAATATTCTTTACCCCCCTCTATCGAGATCTGGTTAAACAACGTCGAATACGGTGGGTTCGCCGTCGCCCGAAAATTTTAACTTGCGATTTCATGGATCACTTTTCGATTGCTTTGGGACCCCAGATCAGTTGCTTACGCAATAATTCACATGCAAGATGCGAGATACGGTGACCTTTCTAAAGCTGATGAAAGCGAAGATGACCAAAGTGTCATTCAGAGATGTAAGCGCTTAATCCTGGTTACGTAACCTGCTTAGTGTAGTATTCCGGTATAAATGGCTGGCTTTGTTCACGGGTATAGTAGAATGAAGGGAGTATTGGATTCTAATATCATAACAAGAAATATATCACGTGTCCGAGCTTTCGCGGTCGATGATGCCGCTGCAATTATTTGTATTGTTTTTGTTTATATCGTGATTTTTGTTTTTATTTGATTTAATTTAACTCCCTCGATTTTCTAGTGGAAAGTTGTGGCTAAGAGCAAAAGGCTTGCAATCGAACATTTTGTCATCCAATGCTTTGCGTGAGTTGCTGTGTCACACAAATAGGAGATTACACATCTTTTCTGAGCTCATGTTACCTTCCCATCTGATGTATTTAGTTCCTTCGCTTTCCCGCAGTGACCGGCCATCTCAGACTACGTTACTGTGTTTATAGTGGAATTGGAAGGTAAGCTTTTTGTGGCAGTTGATTTGAGCTTTAAGATATTACACCTTGCACTACTTTTAAAAGATACATGTAACACGTGAAGGAGGTTGTCTAATAAAGAGACCAGTGTTTTTAGCGGGTGTGTGCGCCACTCGACGACCTGGAGGTATTCTGGCGAATTATAGCGATTCTCTACGACATTACTGCAAAACGAGAGTGTTAATTCTATATAGAATGGGGAGGTTTCCTGGTGTTGTTTAGCTGAATAACTTTGCAAGGTAAAACATTTGATTTCCTCTTGTTTTGCTCTATTCGCGATATCGTTGCAATGTCCAGGTCTCAGGGAAACCTTTTCTTCTGACCTTCACGTGACTTTACAAAAGAGTAATGCCACTAACAGCAACTAAGAACAAGAACTTGGCAACGACCAAAGATGTATTGGCAGACCACGTGCCTCGGAGATTTTGCAGCGTTTTCTTATTTAAGAACTTTAAATCAACAAATTTCGCATCTATAGATTACATGTTCACAGGCGTCTAGGCATACTAATAACGGCAACGGCAGTGCTGCTGAATGAAATTTGATGTTGCTCGCGTTTACCGAAGGAATAATGGCGAAAAGTTTCTTTACTACTCAGTAGGAGAAACTCCTCTTCAGGGGCCACAGGCTGAAAGCAGAGAGCAAGAAATTCTTTTTTTTCCGCTTTTGACCTGAATTTTATACTTGACCTCTACATTCAAGAGAAGGTTAGCTATGTTTTCTTGTGAAGGGGATCTGATGTATCAGCTTTCTGAACTTATCATTTTGTTCAAATGCCAAGGGCCAGGTCACAGGAAAATGTAAAAAGAGGACAAAGAGAGCAATTTTCGTCCCTTTGCGACTCTTCGTAATCGTTCGATAGATAACTAAGAACGAGAGAAATTACTAGAAAACAAGTACAGAAACGTAGGTAATTTTCGCTTATCTTGAGAGAAACTCGAACGCAACGATTTTGGCATCTTTATTAATTGTAAGGAACTGATTGGAAATCCTTGCATGTACCAGGCCTAGCCATGGAAATAAAGTCGGGTAAGTTCCAAATGTCGCCGGCTCACTGCGAACCACGCTTTAGTTTTCAAGTAGGAGACAGGCCTATGAATTGAATCTGTTACACAACTGGTAACAAAGAACTAAGTGGAGAATATGACTGAAAAACACTATCAAGTAAAAATTGTCAATTATGATCAAATTGTCATTTAAAACGCGCTTGGTTAGCTCATGTTGCAGGGCGCCAGACTGGCGCACGGCGTGTGAGAGGTCGAGGGTTCAAGCGCCAGACCGAACCATCACTCAGGTTTAAGAAAAAAAAAAAAAAAAACTGAGGAGAAAGCCAGTTTTGGTATGACATCCGCAAAAGTCTAGAAATTTTAGTCTTCTCGGATAAGGGAGATTAAAGTGTAATCCCCGTTCCTTGCACATTCTCTGTAATGGTTAGCAGGGGACGATAAAGTTGCTTCGGGTGTTGTGGTCTGACTTTGTTTTTGTTTATACAGACCCCCCATTTAAATAATTAAAATGAAATGAATAAATAAACAAACCTCTAAACCATTCGTCACAAGCAAAAGTGCACCTTTAGTAAAGAGCCTTTGTTTTCACCCGTTAACTTATTTCAAAAGCAGAATTACGACAAATGTGAAATTGACCATACAGTCTGTACTTAAGCACACAGGCTGATAATAGAGACTTATAGCAGTCAGGACGGCAACGCCACGGAAGACGCCGATTAAAAAATGAGTGTCTACTTTTAGTTAGAATTTCGAAAATGGCTACATGTGTTTACCGTCTCAAGGGCGCCAGGCCTCAAACTCAACATAACGCATAAAAGTAGCGTTGAGATCCAAATGTAAATTAAAATAATTTGCCGCCACGGTTTCGCTTCGCAGACGACGCAAATTTTGGTGATTTCACGTTGTTGTTTTGCAAAGGACGGCTAAGAAATGTACAAAGTTTGAAAACGCACGTGCTGTGCTATTGTTCTGCCAATTAGATCGATCTATTGTTTTTCCACGTTCTCGTTGCCCTAGCCGTCGTGGTTTGCTTAAAGTCCCTAATAAAATATCGGCTCCAACGAAGAGTTGATCAGATCCTGAACTTGAGACCCTAACTTCAGAATGCATTCTCTCTGTACTGATGTCTATGCATTTCCAAGGATGCCCACAGGGAGAATTTAATTAACAATCAAGAGTTTCTGTACGTGGTGATCATTTCCTTTACCCTCCCGTCAGGGTTGACGTTGTAAGAAAAACAAGTAGGTGTTAGGATTAATTAAAGAGTTAAGCTTGTTTATTTTGCACGTGATGGGCATCGCGTGATTGACCAGTTTATTTCCTTAGAGCAGTCGTAATAACTTTGAAATGTAAAGCGGCTTTAAAAAAAACTTTGCACTACTTAACCTACATTCGTAAGGCTAAAGAACAGCTTAACTTTGAAAAGAAAAGATTTGTGCTCAAATAGCCTTTAATGAGCGTGGTGAATTCTTGGATTCCTGCAGAAATATATTGGCTGAATCAATCTGCACACGCAATTCAACATGGCAGAAGGCGTCAATGAACGAGAGACGTGGGGTTCGAAGTTCGACTTTATTCTTGCTTTGATGGGATTTTCCATTGGGCTCGGTAACATTTGGCGATTTCCTTATCTGTGCTTCAAGAATGGTGGAGGTTTGTCCGATTTACCTGTTACAGTTTCTGTAAGAGTAGGGTAAGATTAGGAAGTTAAATATTGAGTCTTACGGAGTCTTTGTACATGGACAAGCCATATGTATTTAACCCACTGAAGCTAGAATAACCAGGAAAGGGGATGCCCAATGGTAATTGAGACAACTGTCTGTGTCAATCTCTTGGTAGGTGGGAAAGTTTAAAAATGTCGCGAAACAAAATTTGTTAGAGTGGGCCATGGGCCACCTGGCGCCTAATACAGTCACACCTGTATTAACGCTAACCCACGGGGATTGGACCGCTTAATTAAAAGTTCCATAGAACAGGAGTGTTACGAGAAACGATAAAAACGCCATGTTTAGCTATAATTGATCTCTTTATTTCCAATACCTCGCTCAAAATACTACAAACATCGATTTTGGGACATAAACATGGATTGAATTTTATCTGAAAGATTACACTTAGTTTTACTGAAGTGGATGTGCTTCAAGTGAACATTCGATACAGGTAGAGAAAGAAGTTGAAAAGAGATGACCGGTCATTAAAGGCGGAACATTACGGTTATCAAAGGGAAAAATTTTCGGGACTTTGAAAACCGACGGCTTGATAGAGGGTCAATGCAATCAGGGTTAATACAGACCTCTGTGAAAGCAACATCACTGCTGAGCGCGGTAATGCGATCGTTCAGCTGCAAATTCCGAATTTTAGCCTCCAGCCCTCGACACATAGACTTGTGGAGTTCAATGACTGATTCTTAAAGAAAATGCAGCTGCAATCCAAAGTTTTAAGCGTGAAACATGGCTTTAGTTTCGAGTTTAGTTCGCAACAACGAGTTAGAGAAGAGTGTCGATAGATGCCGACCACTAAAGTTTGGAGTTACCATTAAGTTCACCAGTTTGTGGAGCGAGAAATGTTTCAAATTTCACTTAAACCCGAGATGCGTCGAAGGTAAGCTGTATTTATGACGAGATCTGCTCTTTCGGTGTAGGCGAAGAAATCTCAAATGCTCGTACATGTGCTGATTCAAACGCTCGTAACTTTTGAAAAGTCGAAAACGTACAGGTGTTTTTTCATGTGTTTGCCTATAAAGATCTAAACGTAACAGCTGTGTAGGATAGAGTTGTCAATCAGGTCCCAAATCCCAAAACTTAACGTCTAAATCAAGATTATTTACGTCTATCGGCCGATGGCGATTTATAGGGGACAGAATATGTTAAAATTCGCCTTTTCGAGTGTATTGAGAGGGAAATTTTAACTTTCTTGGCAAACTAGAAAGGTTTTTAAGCAATCTAGATCTGATATAAATTTCGTGGCCTAACTATATGCGAATCAAATATTTTACAATGTTACAAAATATGCCTATTTTTCAATTTTCGAGCCGTTGCGACAGTGCCTATGAACCGGGGAAATAATTATGGCCCCTAATGTAGTAAGAAAATTATTTCGAATCAAACCAAATCTAATTTAGTTCTTTCCTAGGTAAAGTCTTTCAGTTGACAGAGTTTCAGGCAAAACTAATTTCTGACGCGAAATTGACGAATGAGAGAGACAGCCTCTTAATACGGGCTCGATTGTTCTTGTTTTTCATCGTTTGGGGACTGTTTCATTCTCTTATGCTGCCTTGAACCATTTAGGTACTACTATTAAAGTTATTTTCCAACAATTGCAATTTCATGAAAAGATAGAACGAATGATTTTTGACCCAAATTCTCTCCAATATTAGGCTCAATCGTAAATAAGCCCAACAATAAAAGATGACCTTTGAAAATCGTGTCTTTGAATTTTAACGGTATTTTCTCAACGTCTCAGGATGTTTCCTCATTCCCTATTTGATTTGTCTGATCGTGGCTGGTGTCCCTGTTCTGGTCATGGAAATCGGCCTAGGACAGTACACAAGCCAAGGTGGAATCACAGCATGGAAAATTTGTCCCATTTTTCAAGGTAAGTCATCATGGTCAAGGCCTACTCTGGGACCTTAAGCTGCCTTAAGTTGCCTTTAAAAGTCTCCTAAAGTCGCCTTAAGTTGCCTTAAGTTGCCTCTAGTTGTCGTAAGTCACTATTGGTCACACAATGTTATAAGGGTTCCACCCTAATCCCAATTGACCTCATTCACCCCACTTTAATCATAAGGATCAGAGGACGAGGCATGGTGGCTGAATGGTTAGTGCACTGGACTCCTCATTAGTCCAGTTTTGGTGTCTAGTGTTGCAGCATTGCATTTTGTTCTCGGGCAAGATACTGTAAGCTCAAAGTGCCTCAACTTTTTCCAGGTGTAAACATGGGTACTGGTTGGCAGGGGGGAGGTAAACCTGCAATGGACTATGAGTTTAATTATTGTTATTGTGAGATGGGCAATGGCTTCCATATACACAGAAACTCCATGTGAAAATAGTCATGCACCTGTCTAGCCCCTATGCTGGCATGGGTAATTCTTACATGTAGACAATACTGATGTAGGAATATGACAATGTATACTCTTCCATTTTCTTACTAAAACAGCTATCTGTTTCAACAAAATTCCTGTCTTGTATTTCATGATGAAAAAGTTGATAAAAGGGTTGACACTGTTTATTATCATCAGGATATAATAAATATTGAATCACATAAAACCTACAGTACCTGATCATCAAGATAAAACGATAGAGAGGTATTCTGGAGAAAGGCTCCATTCTTGCCACTCACTTATACCTTGAGCAGTATAAATAACATTATCAAAGGTCAACTAAACTTAACTGAAGCTAGATTTTATGCACTTAACTTACCCAGAGTAAAAGAATGACAAAAGTGGGCCATTTCTCCAGCATAAACTCAATAATATGTACTAGCTACTTCCAACATGGTATTCGACCAACTGAAAGCATTTGAACTTTGTATCTCTTCGAACCTACTGAAGGTGTAAATATTAATCTATCTTGAGACTTTGATAGTCTCTTTGTACATTTCATCTTCCTCAGTTTGATGATAAACATACATGAAGCCAAGACAAGCCTTTTACGGCAAACATGGCCGTCAGAAATATTTGATCACGTGACTTAAGTTTTGTCCCGTGACCAAAGTGCACGTGAGAACAACACGCACGCGAGCCTGCTGAAAAGTGTACAGAGAAATAATTTATCTATGCAAAAAGAAAAAATCATCAAAAAGCTTTGAGAAAATTCACTCTAAAAGTTTAACTGTGCGACCGCCTCAATGAAATGGGCGTACTTGACCGGAGAAACCCAATAGTGTTGTCCCGCTCCTAACTTCGAAGCATGGAAACTAGTTAGAGACGCAAAGGTTGCAGGGAGAGTTTGGAGCCAGTTATCAACTTAGAGAATTTAGTCGTGACTCGTTAGTTTCTGGTCAATTGTGATGTAACAATGAATGCTTTTAAACCTGTAACAGTTCCACCAGGTTAAAAGTAAAACTTAAATGCTTGGACCGGAAGGTCCTGCTGATCAGATCAACAGTGGAGAAAGACCTTAGCATATGGTTCTCAGTATGGTATTGGAGTGTTTTGTCTAACTGAGGCAGGAGAACAACAAATTTGTTGGGTTCCTGAAAAGGACCGAGCAATTTTGGATGCTGTTGGAAAGGCATGAGAGTTGCCAAACTTTCATGCCAAAATTGACAGTGCAAGTGACAAAAATACGGGAGACAAGTTTACCTAGATAACAATTTTATATAATTTGTGAGGCTTTGTGAAATAATTAAATAATCAAGTTATTTTTAATTAATTATATGGAAAATTTATTAATAGTTTTATGTAAATCATGTCTCTTTTCTTAAATTAAAAATGTGTTTTTATGTGTATATCTTTGATAGGTTTGTTTTATGTTGGGCAGATAACCATGATGTTTTCCTGGCTATTTATTCACTAAATAATTTGAATATAACAACAAAGTTGAAAGGGTAAATTGGCCACCGTAACGATTACAAAAGCTGACGTTTCGAGCGTTAGCCCTTCGTCGGAGCGAACGCGAGTGGAATTTTTCAGAGAAATTACAAAAATTTAAGCTTAGTGAGGTTTTTATCATGCTTTGATATTGCTCTTCACTGAGCGAGTTGTCATTTATTCTGCTACGACTTTCATCTGTCCGTGAGAAAGTTTTCTTTGCCGAAAGGAGGTTTCCATGCCTGGGTGTCGTTAAGGTGTTAGTGGAGATCTTGTCATGGAGAGGAGTTCGAAGCTCGCAGAGTGGCCCAGTCGCTGTAGTAAAGTGTTTGGGGAATTTGCATATGTGTCTACCATTTGCCCGTTCCGATAAGTTTGTCATTAGAGAGATTTAGCACCGCGTTTACGTGAAACGTGCACAACAAGTTAAGTGATCACGTGACCTTGTTTTTGCGGCCATTTTTTCACGTTTTCCTGTTGCACTTTGCCGTTTCTTCGTGAAAGTAAACTGTTTCGCGTTTGTCGTCTAGGTAAGATTTTCTTCACTTTCCTACCACAGTCTTAATTTCCGGAAAAAGGGCACCGAAACTATTCCTTGTAGCTCATACGAGGGCGCCTTCAATCCACTTTGAAGTGAGTTTACGCGAGGCTAAAGCAGCGAGGTTCACGCTATTTAACGTCAAACGCGAAAGGGCAAGCTCACGTTTGCCATTTCACGTAAACGCGGTGCTAAATCTCTCTCTTGAAATTGTTTTCACTCTAGGTATTGGCTACGCTGGGGTGCTGGTTATGCAGTACATTAACATTTACTATACCGTGATCCTCGGCTGGGCATTTTACTACATGTTTGCTTCGTTCCAATCCAAGCTGCCGTGGTCACACTGTGGAAATGAATGGAATACACCAAACTGTGTGGATGGCAGTGTAAAACGAAACAGCTCCATACAAAATACATCCGCTATCGCAGGCATTTCGGCAAGTCAGGAATACTGGGAGTAAGTAACGTTTATATCAGTTAAGAAATTCTGTTTCTTGACAGTTGTTAGAAACTAATTATGTGAGAGTCACCTAAACGCCGCAATAGCTGTTTTGAAACAGCCAGTATACTCGTACAATCAAGTGTAATCGCACAATCGTGTTTTATGTTCCCACACTTATGACATATGTGTTTACGCGCCTGAGAACGAATTTCCCTTCATACAAAGCTTTTGCTAGCGCTTTGAATATCTTTTAAACAATTGGTTCTTGCAGTGCACTCGCTCATCGAGATGTAAAGTGCATAGGCTACGCCTCAAGCATTTCGTCCGTATCTTTCGTGCCCTCCAAACTTGCAGCAAGCTCCATATCTCTTAACAGAACATAAGGCAATTGTTAGATATTGTTGGCTTTCTCCTAAGAATTTAGTATTTTATTACACGACTCGGGCAGTCAGAGGGCCAATCTGATTTTAACGTGACAAGAACTTTAAGTGAAAAAGGCAAATAATAACAAAAAAGGAAACTGTTCTGCATGGATGATTTTCTACTTCTTTTAAGTTAGCCCTTCGTCATTCGCTCCGACGAAGGGCTAACGCTCGAAACGTCAGCTTTTGTAATCATTACGGTGGCCAATTTACCATCTCTCTGCGATATTACCTCGTAATGAAAAAAATTTCTCTAACTTTTTGCAGGTTGTGTACTTCACTGCCACAGCTCCATATCTGCTGCTGACCGCCATCTTAATCCGCGGTGTCACTCTACCAGGAGCTGCCGACGGTATCAAGTTTTATCTGACTCCAGATCTGTCAAGACTTGGTGACGGCCAGGTAACCGATAACGAGAACGTGGTCTGTTAATAAGAAGACAATTATCGAACTCGTTTGACGCGGGATTAGCGCGCGTGCGCACTTTGAAACTTCGTGAGAAAGTTACGCGTACAAATTTCGCGCGTATGAGTTTTAGATTTTAGTTTTTTGATCGCAATTTTCGAGGTTGTTGATGTTTTTTTTTTTTTTCAGAGTTTACCTTTTTACCGTCTTGCTGTTTTTCACTCGAATAAACACGCCTGCTTTTTAAAGAGAGATTTCCGTTTCCGCTTCCAATCATTGCCAGTGTAGAAAGCCTCCCTCTGTCAAAAATTAAACCTTTCTCTCCCATGAATGACGAAGACTGAATTTCTCCTTACAATATCAACACAAAATCCAGTACCACGTTCTCCGCACAAACATCATGATAATTGAACGGTAGACAGCGAGTGAAATTCCGAATGTGATCTTGGGAGTAAAAAGGTAAAGCTTGGTTCTGTCTCTCAATCATACACACAGCCAAACATGCACAAAATGGAATGAGCTGTCAAACTAAGAATGAAATATTTTCTGTCCATGTTATTTCAAGAAAATATTTTGCCAGTTTTTCTTTTTTTTTAGTTAAAAAAAAACGAGATTGTGAATTATTTTACTAGTTTTCTCTTGCATATAACTTCTAACTTCTATCCTTTCAAAAACAAAACACGGATCAAGTACTTCTTTAGTCAAGGGGTTGACTACTTTTATTGTTGGACCTATGTTCATTGGCCTGCGGGAATGTGGTCAGTTTGCCCTGAATGTCTCTCATCTATACGTAACGTTCTGCAATATGCACAAGTTGTTTAGTTTGGGTAAAGAGAGCTTTTTTTAACAGCTAACTAAAAGTGAATTGGTTTTGGCTTAATTATCCTGTACAATTTTACGGCCGGAATATCGCCAAACTTGAGTCAACTTAATAGTTCTTGAGGCACTCCGGATCCAGTTGTTCGCCCTAAAATTTCACTTTTGTGTGAGACCTAAAACTGAAATTTGAAATTCTGAGTTAAAATTTAGTTTGAAAATAAATGTGTTTTCAGGTATGGCTTGATGCTGGTACCCAGGTATTTTTCTCGTATTCCATTGGCATGGGAACCATGACAGCGCTTGGGAGCTATAATAAATTCAGGAACAATTTTTACAGGTAGGGCAGTAAATATGCGTTATTCACCAAGTGGGAGGTCAAGATGGCTGGATATTGACCGAGTTCTTTTTTTTTGCGCACTTCTTTTAAGCGAACTGCTGCTGTTGCATTCTTTCCAAATGTAGGGATTCCATCATATTTACCCTCTGTAACAGTGGAACAAGTTTTTATGGTGGATTTCTCATCTTTTCTGTGCTGGGTTTTATGGCTAAAAATCAAGGGGTGACAGTAGAGGAAGTTGCCAAGCCAGGTAAAACGATAATTATAAAGTTATCCAGGAGGTTTTTGGCTTAGAATACGGCAATATGGCATGTACTCGAACAAGCTTCGCGGCACTTAATCATTTTATTCATGGCACCTGGAATGCGGCGTTTATTTGAGGGAGCGGTCATTCAAAATTACGGTGTATTTTCAATGTGAAAATTTTTACGGTAACTAATAGCAGCGTCTTTTGATTATCACCATTTGTGTCTTCCGGCACTTTTCAGTGGTGTCTTGAGCCAACTTAGATCTCGCTGATCCCTTCTTCAGATATATAAAATACTTCATGCAAAGTCTGTCCGTATGGTATTTACGCACGAGTTGGTAGTATCGGAAATCGAACGAGTGAGTTTTCTCATACAAACCGACGAGCGCGTAGATAGTATACAGAAAGACTTTCCATTTGTATTATGTTTACTATATAAATCCGGCGATTCATTTATTGCTAAATGAAAATTTTTTGTTTAAATCGATTATAAAGTATGTAGACCAATAGGAATACGCCAATAGAAACGATGCAACACTACAGACAGCTAGTGAAATATTGCAGAATACCTCTCGTTACTTGAAACGAAGTATCCCAGGCTTGAGGTCGCTTGAGGGTTCATAACACTCCTTGTCTTTTCGTCGAACGGAGCGATAAACTACGCAAGATACAAGTTTAGATTCCTCGTACTTTTCATCGAAAAACTCCCTGAATAATTTCAAATCTCGTTACTTTGTTTTTTTTCATTTTTTCTCTTTTTATTTTTGTTCTGCATGCTTTCTATTCCACATTGTCCTTCAAAGAAGTTCCTCAGTCATTTTTTTTTAAAGTAATTTGATTTAATATACAGCCCTAAGAGCAGATTTTAAAGCGACATGCTGCCAGTGAAAGTTGAATGAGAATCGCCTATATACGCTTTACACGTGCTAAAACAAGATACGTGCATGACTCCTGATTGGCCGTATCACTTTCCTCATACATGAAAAAAGCGATTCGCGCCATTTGATTGGCTCTTGGCTTCTTCGACCAGCTCGCGAATGAAAATTCATTTGGCGCTTTTTCAGTAAGTAAATCTCAGTATGTAAGAATATAATAAATGTGCCTACACATATATCGTCACACATACGTTACGTCGAGAGGAAAAGGGTCAACGAGAAAAAACAAAGACGGAAATGGTAACTTTTGTCGCCCAGTTAGCCCAATGGATAGTGCGCTGGACTGTTGTGCGGGAGGTTGAGGGTTCGAGCCCCGGCCGGACCAACACTCAAGGTCTTAAAGTAATTGAGAAGAATTTGCTACCTTTCTATAACATCAAGAAATGGTTAGACATTCTAGTCTTCTC